CACACACACACACACACACACACCTTATGAGCCAGGCACCACACACACACACACACACACACACCTTATGAGCCAGGCACCAGTGGCTCTTGCCTGTAATCTTCGCTACTCAGGAGGTTGAGATCTGAGGATTGAGGTTCAAAGCCAGGGTTCAAAGCCAGCCCAGGCAGGAAAGTCTATGAGACTAGCTCCCCTAAACTACCCAGAAAGCTAGAGTAGAGCTGTGGTTAAAGTTGTCAATATATATTTTATATATTGACATAACATATACTCACAAACATGAAAATATACTCATATTTGTTAAATATAAATGAATATAAGTAGTTGTATAGCAAAACTTAAAGGAGGGATTTGGTGATCACACACACACACATATACACCCCTACAGAGTATGGTTACTCGTATGAAGAATCCACACAAACCAATTGACAAAAAACCTTTCCTCTGAAGTCATGTCTTCTATAAGGCAGAGCTATAACACAGCTCTTCTGGGCTGTGTTCACCCTTCCCATGGCCTTGGGGCTCTGGAACAGCTCCCCTTTTTCCACCTCTGTCTGTAATGTCTTTCAACTGATGGGGGCGCGCAAATTACAGGGGAGGCCTCTTAGTCTGCAGACGTTTCTGGCACTCTCTGGTGTAGAATTCGGGGGATAATTAGCATACACATGCCATGCCTACACATACATACTGGCACATATACCCATGTGTGCATATGTACAGCAATACAAATATTTGCATGCATGTGCACAAATCTGCACTTGTGTGCATGCACATGAAATGTGCATGTGTGTTATACAAATATACATGTGCAAATGGAGAAGGCCAGCCTCTGAGGAAGCTCACCACCACTCACAGGAATTCCTTTGGCTACGATTAGAATTCTTTTTCTATATCTCTGTCATCTGCATTTTCTAGAATAAGTATATGTAGCTTATATGGTTTTTGTTTGTTTGCTGTTTTATGCCGGTCCTGGGGCTTGAACTTGGGGCCTGGGTGCTGTTTTTGAGTTATTTTGCTTAAGGCTAACACTGTGCCACTTGCGCCACAGCTCTGCTTGTGGCTTTTTGGTGGTTAATTGGAGATCAGTCTCAAGGTATCCTGGCAATGGTG